ACCTTTGAACGCCATTTATAGTAAGGAAAGAGTCTTCATTAAAAAGTTGTTTCATTAATTGCACACAATTAACATGCACTGAAGAAAAGATTTGGACCTCAAGATATTTGAATCATTTTCCAAAATCATTTTTCCTAACCTATAAACCACATCACTGGCCTGTGTAAGGCATCATCCAGTTCTGACCACATACAGTGGAATGTAATGGAACAAGCCTGGCCTAGGAGTCAGGAGGCCTGGGGGTTAGCCCAGACGCCATGCTTTCATGGTTTGATCTCTTTGAGTTTCCAGATCTTCACATATAAACTCACAAGATGGATTAAAGAAGAATCAAAGTGTAAATTTGATGTGGGAACATTTTGTGCTCATACTGTAAAGTGCAAAGTAAAATGATACAATGATAGTGATAATAATGAGATATTATTATGCCTGTGCTTTGGGAAACTCTTAGAGTAATTGTAAGTAATTGCGCCCTTGGCAAAGAGATGGGAAGATCCTTTGTCTTCCTTGGGAAACTTTGCACTTGAGCACCCATGAAGAAATGGGACATTGGAATAATGGAGGAAAATTGTCAGTTCTGCCCATAATTGTTTCTCTACAGATTTCATTTCCATGTTCAAAAAAAAATGATTGCACACACAGGCTAGCGTGCACATGCACATGTATGCACACACAGAGCAGGAAAGACTGACTCTGAAGCTTTCAGACTTGAGTGGCTGTGATCCTTGAAAGTGAAGTCACCGCTTCTGGGACAAAGTTGCTGACAACTCTTGGTCATTGTGGCTTCTCCTCACACTGACTGCTTTCTGATTCTCAATAACATTGCCACATAGCCCCCCACATTAGCCTCTTTGTCTGAGACAGAAAGGGCCATCTGATAAATGAGGCAGGAGGATGAGAAATGATTCCATGGTGGGTCCAGTGGATGGAACAGGCTTTCCTGGAGCATAAAGCTTCATGTAGAGAGAGGCTGTGTGATTCCATGAATGCAGGGCATGAGGCTGGAGTCAACATTTTTGACTTCGGGTTAAACCAGAGAGATGGGGGAAAAAAATCAAAGCCTCATTAAGGCAGTGCTGTTAATAAGCTGAATTCTGTGTTTAGAGATTCTCGATCACATTGAAGGAACAAACAGAGTCTAAATCCATAAGCACTGGATGGTGTCCAGAGTGGGAACTCAGCACAGAGGGAAAAGGAAGATGATATAGATTTATTGATGGCACCCAGCATCCATGGGTCTTAAATAGAAAGGAAGGCCACGTAGCCCCCATATACCAACTTGCAGAGCTAAGGAAGACCTGGGAGTTAGTTCAGGCTAGTTTTGAAATTCAAGTCTGCCCCTGAACTCATTGTGTGACATGGATAAGTTCCCAAGTACAAAAACTTCAATGTATTCATCTGAAAAATGGAGATAATAATTTCTGTATTATAGGGTGCTGTGTGTGTATATGTGTGTGTATGTGTTATATTAGAAAATGTGTCCATGTTCTAACATATCCTGCTTCATAAATGGTGGTTTATAATGAGCTCTCATCCCAGTATTTATCATCTGAGGACAGAGACTTCTGTCTTCTGCCCTAGCTAATTTCCCTAATGGGTGGCAGAACAGGGTTGGTAGGCATGAATAGTTGCAGAGATAGGCGAAGTTAATAAGCATATGACTTCTGAGGATCTCTTACATTGGCAATGTTATCTGAAATTGATTGATTATTTTTATATCTGAAGTTGATTTGATTGGTTCAGTTATTGAAAATGATCACAATAAAAACCTGCATAATGCATGGAGAATTCCAAAACGATTTGAGAAAAGGATGAAGTTATCTTTTACTCCTTCCCTTGCCCCACAAAGCTCTTAATCTAGGAGACTGTCAAGGAATAAAATATATTTGAAACTCATCTATTAATTTTTTCTTTGGATCATATTCCAAGGGACATGTGTTATGTCGACACTTCTTCCATCCCACCCCTCCCACAGGAAGTTCTGTTCAAGAGAACTGCAAGAGTCATGGTCCTGGGGAAGCACCTTCAGATAGGAGAGGCCATGCCCCCATTCTAATAGCTGGACAAAGGAGCTAAAAATTATAGATGTAGAGAAGATGCCCAGGAGCAGAAAAGACAAGAGCCTGTCTAACTAGAGTTACAGTGAGTCAGGCCAGGAAGCCTCTTTGTATGTAGGTTCCTGGTTGCTGAGCATGGCAGCTGTTGACAAGTACCTCATCAATTTTATTTATTTATTTTGCTGAAATTTAAATGAAACATGACAAGTAAAGCAACTACAGTAGTGACTGGCACAAGACACTTAATATTGTCAGCTATTAGTGATATCTCTGCTGTTCATAGCAGCAGTAATAATCATGGTGGTGGCAGACGTAATAGTACTAGTGTTAACAGTGGTATAAATAGTAGGGGAATTCAGAAACCAAGTAAAGCTCTTTGCTCTTTCATATAGGATGGTAGACAAATATATCTACACATAGGAAACAGTACTATTGTTATACAGATGACATTCCCTTAATTATTTCCCTTTCTTCCCCCTTTAGTGTTTAATAAATGAAAACTATTCCAGATGCTCCAAGAATAGATGAGAAGGGGAAGCTATGCTTTGCCCCAGCCAAAGCTAAAGTCAGAACAGAAAATGCTAACATGGAGGCAGCAGAGGCCCAAAGAGAAGATGAAATGGCATCTCCCTGTTATGGGTTCAACTGTGTCCCCCAGAAAGTTATGCTAAAGTCTTATCCCTGATACCTGTAAATGTGACCTTATTTCTAAACAATGCCTTTGCCAACATAATCAAGTTAAGATAAGGCGTTAGCATTGGCCCTAATCCCTTATGATTAGTGAGAGTAAAGAGACCCAGAGATAGTGAGAGAGAAAAGAAGAAGAGAATTTAGAGTGAGGAAGAAAATCCCATGGAATGAGGGGGATGGAGATGGAGTTGTAGGCTGTCACAAGCCAAGGAACACCGGCACTACCAGAGACTGGAAGAGTCAGGAAGGGTCCTTGCCTAGCGCTGTAGGATGTGTTCGACCCTGATTTGGATTCCTAACCTCCAAACTGTGAGACAGATAAATTTCTACATTTCTTATTTATTTATTTATTTGCCATCTGGTTTGTGATAGTTGGTTATAGCAGTCCTAGGAAATTAATGTATTTTCCAGTGGGGAATCTCTCATCCCCAGCTCTCAGGATCAACCCAGGGATGACAGGATAAAACTCCCAATCCTAAGAGCTCTGAAAATGAGCTTCATCTTCTTCCCTAGTTTTACCTCAGTCTCCTCCACCTGCTGCTTAATGGGGACACAGGCTATTTCAGACCTCAGTGCCTTTTCTCATGGCCACATTGTGAGCTAGGACATGCGGTGAATACCAATAGAAGTGTGGTGTGCCACGTATTCTGAAGATTTCTTGAACTCCTCTGTCCCCAGGAGGATTGACCATCTCCTACCTGGGTAGTTTGTTCCTTGAATTCAAGGATGCTGTCTTCCTCATGTTTGTATTTCTGACACAGAAAAATTCATATAACAATGTGAATCAGTGAGGAGTAGAAGAGAAAAATGAATAGATGGATGATGATTGAATGAGTAAACGGGTAGTGAATGAATGAAAGGTGAGTGAGGACACAAATGAAAAGATAGTCCTGAGCAGCCCTGAAGAGGGACCAACTGGCACTGTTCAACCCGTCACATTCCCCAACGCCTATTCCAGCTCTTCCACTCAGAACTTGGAAGTTTCTTCATTTTATTTCCACTTGTCTTTTTCTTTCCCTATTGGGAAGTCAGAATAGCTGCTGGTGTGGGGGGACAGGCTATGATTTGGGTTTCAGTCATACTGACTCCGGGATGGTAGGAGGACATCCATGTGGAAATGTCATGAAGGCCAATAGGAATATGGAACTAGTGCTCAGACAAGAGGCCAAAATCAGGGGTCCAGTTCTGCAATGCATCTGAAGCTGTGATGGCTAAAGCACAAGAAAGCATGAGACTTCTAAGGGGGAAAAGGAGCAGGTAAGAAAGTAAGATCAGGACCAAGGACGGAGCCTCGGGGAGCCCAGGAGAAGCACAGCAAATAGGAAAAGTGGTCAACAGAAAATAGGAGCCTTTGTCCCAGAAGCCAGAGATGGGAGAAGAAACAAATGATTGACAACGTCTGATGCCAGGAGGAAGCAGATAGGAGATGAGAGCTGGAAAGAGATCACTGGACTGGGCTATCTAGTTAAGTGATTGTCTAGGAAGCGAAGTTACTTGGTGTCAATACACGAGTGCATGGGTGATAGAAAAGTGAAGGAAGACAATCAGACACTCTTTAAAAAAAGTATGTTTCTTATGAAAGAAAAGAGGAGCATGGGGCATTTACATGGACCAGAAAGAGAGACCTAACCTGAGGAAGAGTGGAGGGAAGGGGTCCAGGATGAGAAAGAGCTGAAGGCGGGAATGCAGCAGAGTCCTACAGACTTGGAAGGGGATCACAGCCCAAGAGGCAGGAGAGGGCACTACCACTTTGAAAGAGCAAGAAGGAGGAGCAAAGGGATTAAGACATGGAGACCACTCCCTCAAACCCATGGATAATTAGCCCCATCATCCCCAGAAGCATTGCACAATACACAATGTGGTAGAGCTCAGTCTTTGAGAAAAGGAGAGCTTTGCCAAACACAGTTGTGGACACCTGTAATCCCAGGAACTGGGGAAGCTGAGGCAGGAGGATGGCAAGTTCAAGGCTAGATTCAGCAACTTAGTGAGGCCCTGAGCAACTTAGTAAGACCCTACCTCAAAATAAAAAAAATAAAAAGGACTGGGGATATAGCTCAGTGATAGAGCACTCCTGGGTTCAATCCCCTGTACCAAAGAGAAAAAGAAAAGAAAGGAAAAGAAAAAAATCTGAATAGAAAAGGAGAGCTTCCTTGCACAGTCCCAAATTCAGATCAATTCTCAGGGAAGAGAAAGAGTTAGAAAACTATTCAAATTATTGTTAAAAAATATCAAACCAGCATTTTTGTTCATCAATTCAGATTTAAAATTTAATTTCATGGTACAATGAGCGCATACACAGTTATATCTATTAAGGTCACCTACTCCCAGTTCATCAGCTTACTCTGGGCATTGATGACTGTGAAACTCTTTAGGAGATAAGAATCACGGCTTCATCCTGCTCAGTGCTCACAGTTTCCAGGTGAGTCAAAATTTTCTGACTCTGAAATGCCCAAAAGTTTATTGTTCCCCATCCAGAGGGTCCACCTTGGGTTTGTGCTTCAACCTGTAGTTTTAACAAAACAAAATTCTGCAAGAGGCTTTCAAAGCTTCGAGGCAAGGAGAGGTTAGGGAGAGAATTCTTAATTGAGTCTTTGTTTCAGGAGGAGTCACATGAGTTTTCTTAGTTTCTCATTCCTTTTTTTAAATCATCAGTTTCCTCTTTCTCTTACTCAAAACTCAAAGGCCAGAATCCACTCAGCTTTTATGGTGCTTCTTATCAGGGTAATAATGGATGTTTAACCTGTGAAATTCTTTTTGACTTCCATACAATGTGAATCTAGGATTTTCCTTTAAGGCACTGTGGTAATTAGGAGGTTAGATTTGAATTGACCTGAAATTAGATTCACATCCAAGGTTAAATGAACATGGACAGTTACACATATATACAAAACACACATATAATATTACATACATGTATCCCCACATATATGACATCATATATGATATATATCATGTAAAAACATTTTTCAAAAACTGCTCTTTTCCCGCCTTGACTATCTCTAGGAACTATACCTTCAGTTCAACTCTCTAAAATTCAGCACTTTCAGAGACTTAAACTGGGTTAGCAACAAGGCCTAGAGAAGTAAGGGGGGATATTCAACCCTGAAAAAGTTATAAAAACATAGTTAATGGGGAACACGGAAGACCTAGGGAGCAGCTGAGGACTGACTGCCCCCCTGTCCACCCTGTCTCTGCAGTGTCTGAATTCTTTGGATAATTGGCTGTCTCTCCACCCTGCTTTCACTTTTGCAGCAGCATCTGTTGTTTTCTTTTGAAACTAATTTCAAAAAAGTGTCAATTCTGACATTTATAATATTCATGAAATTTTGACCCTACTTCCCTAACCCAGAATATGTGTGTGTGCATTAAAGACAAATATATAGAAATATATATATGTATATATTTGTAATATTCTATTTATATTACATACAAAAGGCATGATAATGATTACTAAATGTCACTTAGCCATATCCGAATTTAATCAACCAGTCAACAATGATTGGAGACCTCTTATCCCGGGACAAGACAGAAATAAGGACAAATAAGGCCGGTTCCTCAAAGGCTGAATGTTTTCTCTGGTAAGTAGAAGCTGATGCATAATGGGGGTGGTGGGGAGCACATGGGAGGAATGGAGGAACTCTGGATAGGGCAAAGGGGAGGGAGGGGGAAGGGAGGGGGCAGGGGGTTAGGAAAGATGATTGAATGAGATGGACATCATTACCCTAGGTACATGTATGAAGACATGAATGGTGTGACTCTACTTTGTGCACAACCAGAGAAATGAAAAATTATGCTCCATTTGTGTACCATGAATTGTAATGCATTCTGCTGTCATGTATAACAAATTAGAACAAATAAATAAATTTATTTATTTTTTAAAAAAAGAAGGCCGGTTCCTCACCTGCAAAAGGACCATATCTCCTAGAGTAGATTGCTCGGCATATAAATAAAAATGCCATAAGATAAATGTTAACAGATGTATGCGTAGGGCCATAAGGAACACTGGAGATGAAGCACATAACTGTACAGGGCTCAGAGGAGAGAAACCTCAGCAGAAAGACCCTTGTGGACTAGGGGCATAAAGGTCTGCAGCCAGTAAAAACAGCGTTTGCAAAGGAGCAAAAACAGGTTGTGCTTGGGGAATTACCAGCGGTTTGGTATTGAAGGAGGGAGATTAAAATAATAAGAGAGGGTGAGCGAAAAAAGGCTGGTTATGATAGGCTAAAAAATTTTTAATGTGTTTCTAATATTTAAAATGTTCCTTTTCTGGTTGGCTAGAAATAAGATATGAAACATTAAAGTTGATCTGGTGGCAAAGAAAGACCAAGAGGCAGTGAGAAGAGTAGATGCTCGAGGAAATCGCAGACTCTTTGGCTTTGAATCTCTTGTTTTCTTGAAAGAAGCATCTTGCCCAGATGGCTGGACATTGCCATTAATTTGGCAGATTGTGATGTAATGATGGAAACGAAGGCCGTATTTGGAGGACTTTTAATTAAGGCCAAGAGAGAAGTCTGAGCTGAGGACCTCACCATGTCCCAAAAGGGTAAAAACATTTTCTTTCTCTCGAGGTACAGATTGTAGGATAGGCGGCTTCCCTATTTGGGAATGAAAATGTGATTTCAAGAGCTTGAGCCACCAAGTGATTTATTCAAACTATGTTTTGATGAGGTAAGTGTAAATAAATGAAACCATGTGGAATCCATTTTCTCCAAGATCTATACAGATTTAAAATTAAGAAACAGAAACCTTGGGGCAAATCATGCATTGGACTTAATTCAAATGTAAATGTTTGAGGAAACTGTTTGGAATTTTCATGAATCTGCACGGAAATCCAGTTTGCATCTTTTCATTATGTGCTCTAGGAAGTTCCCTAAAATCTAGTTCTTTCATGAGCAGAGTCAACTATGGGGAAATGGTCCAAATAGGTTTGGGGAAAATTATGTTGGGCACACAATGACTTCATGTAGGTCAGTAAAAATGTCAGTTTCTGAGACAAGCTCCCAAAGATTATCTGAAAGGTCCCTACCTGAGGTCTCTTACCTCATCACATAAACATGCCCATTGTACTAATCAGATCTCTCTAAGTTATGCTGCAATAACAAACAGTCCCCAAGTCTTAGTGGCTTATAGCAACAAATGGTTTATTTCTCATTCTTGTCTCACTTACACCAACTGTAGGGAGGCTGAGGTCTCCTACATGCAGGAAGGGTGCAGATAGATAAAGCAGCACCTACCTGGGATTCTCCATATTTGAGGCAGGGAGAAAAAAAGCAATTACAAAACTACACAGTAGTTCTCCAAACTTTTGCCTAGATGTGACATAGATATGGTAAAAGAAAGTCATAGATGTAAGTTTGGTCTTAGTGAGGTAAACACTCGTTCCCACAGGAAGAGCATCAGGGGGTGTCCTATAGGACATGAGTATATGAGCAAAGACTGTGTACCATATATTAGTTGTTATAGGTAACTTAGTACTTAATAGATATTTGTTAAATAAATAAATGAAGTTGTACTTTTCATTTTGAAAGGTGGAATGTTGAAATCTATTCTTTATAAAGCAAATATGAATTTGTCTGAAATAATCATTCCATCAATTTGCACCCCGTAAATATATATAAATATAATTCATCAATAAAAAAGGGAAAAAAAGATCAAATGAGATAATCTTCTTTCCTTATTCTTAAGGCAGAGGATTACAGAAACTGTTCTAGGGCCAGTAATGTGAAAGCTATCCAGCCTGGTGGAAAAAAATCTTGTACTCCAGAGAGGCTACTCTCACTACAGTTCCCAGCTTCCTTCCAACTTTCCAACCTTTTTCACACCATCTGCAGCACCAGTGGGCCCAATTGTCAGCAGGGACTGCTCTGTTGCTCTCTTTTCTCTATAGGTAAATCATTCTAGGACATCTAATCATATAGATACTCGTGACTTACCAAGGCTCTGGGCTTCTCCATTAACAGGACAAGGTTGGCCTTTGCCTGAAGTCTTTACATACCTGGATACCATTACTCATTTGTGTGACTTAAAAGTACTTCTCTGGGAGCCTTCTACAGTTCAAATGGCTCAAGGGTTCTATCAGAACACCTGACACATTGTTGGAGACTCAAGGGTTTTCCAGTAAATGTTTGTGGATACGAGGGCAGCCCATATTGTTTGCTCTAGTTTCCCAGGGAAACCCATATAGTGTAGATTAGCCTTGAAATCGGTGAGCTGACAAAGATACACAGTGCAAACTACTTACTTCTTCCATGTCTTGGAGCTTTAAAACAATGTTCATCATTAATCAACATCTTAATCATCACTCAGTTAATTCAAAACAATGAATAATTTGGAAGCATCAATGAGCTTTTTATATTTCTGGGCACTATCATTACAATTACATGTTTTTGTCTTGAGTTTTTTCTTGTTGGATATAGATCACATAGACTTGTTTTAAGTATAGAGTCTGAGGCCACCACACTTGGCTTTCTTGCTCTTTTTCTAGCAATAGCAAAGAGCAACATCTAGCTGCTGTCTTCGTGGAAGATGAAACTACAGGAAGATGTGGGAAGAGAGGACACGATATCTTCTCCTTCCCTATACTTTCCAAGCTCCATGTTGGAGGGATACTTGATGGTATTACTCAATGTTGTCCACCACATGCCTCCAGATCTCTTGTTTTCTCCCCATGGTCTCTGGGTGATCTTAAATTCAATTTGCCTCTGTATTTCCATAAGGCCAAAAATTCAGCTCATACTTCTCTCCCATCTGCAGGCTTTTATATCCAGTAAATTATGGACAAATTCCTCTGGATGCTGTATAATCACTTGAGATATAGCATGTCCAAAATGACATTGCCCATTGTTCCCAAACCTGCTATTCTTCCTCTCTGCTCTTTTCTTGAGAATTGAATACCATCTCATCACTTGTCCCAGTCTCCCATCCTCAAAATGACTATTCTGTTGTCCTGCAGTCCTCACTTTTCTGGTCTATCAAGTTTCCTTATTCATTGCCATGGGCCTCAAAAGTGCAGCCTAGAAAGTAGCTAGAAGTAAATGTTTATATAAAAGTGACTGAACGACATACCTCAACATTGCAAAAGCTATCTATGCTAAGCCCAAAGCCAACATAATTCTAAATGGAGAAAAATTGAAAGCATTCCCTCTAAAAACTAGAACAAGACAATGATACCCTCTTTCACCACTTCTATTCAATGGTGTCCTTGAAACTCTAGCCAGAGCAATTAGACAGGAGAAGGAAATTAAATAGATACAAATAGGAAAAGAAGAACTCAAACTATCATCATTTGTTAATGATATGATTCTATACTTAGAAGATCCAAAAAATTCCACAGAAAACTTCTAGAACTCAAAAATGAAATCAGCAATGTAGCAGGGGATAAAATGAAAACATGTAAATCAAATGCATTCCTATACATCAGTGATGAATCTATTGAAAGAGAAATTAGGAAGACTACCCCATTCACAATAGCTTCAAAATAAATAAATAAATAAAATACTTGGGAATCAATTTAACAAAAAAGGTAAAACCTCTACAATGAAAACTACAGAACACTAAAAAAATAAATTAAAGAAGACTTTAGAATATGGAAAGACCTCTCATGCTCCTGGCTATCCAGAATTTGTATTGTCAAAATGACCATACTACCAAAAGCATTATATATATTTAATGCAATTCCAATTAAAATGCCAGCAACCTTCTTCATAGAACTAGAAAAAGCAATCATGAAATTCATTTGGAAAAATAAGAGACTCATAATAGCCAAAGCAATGCTTAGTTGAAATATCAAAGTACCAGACCTTAAATTATGCTACAGAAATAGCATGGTATTGGCACCAAAACAGACATTTAGACCAATGGTACAGCATAGAAGACACAGAGACAAACCCACATAAATAAAGTTATCTTATACTAGACAAAGGTACCAAAAACATTCACTGGAGAAAAGATAAACTATTCAAAAAGTGATGCTGGGAAAATTGGAAATCCACATGTAACAAAGTAAAATTAAATTCCTATCTCATATACACACTCAAACACACACACACACACACACACACACACACACATATACACACA